AACTGTAAATTTATATTGATGCAGCAATTTTATGGAAATAAAAAATGAATAATAACATCCAGCGTTTTAAATTTTCACTTTGTATTCTTGGGAAATATTTGTTCAGTTTTATAAAACATCTTGGTTTTCGCTCCTTTCTGTTACTTAGGTTAAGACCACAGAGTCTTAACACGCTGCAACCCTTGTTATCGACTGTCATTTTTGTATGGACAACCATTTGTGATAAATGCATGGAAAATGGTGATAGCAAAGAAGAAGTGAAGAAAAAGCGGAATGCATGTGCCTGATTTCAAACTGTTAACATAATTCAAAATTAGCTTAAATTTTTTTTCCATAGATTTATCTTGCAATTTTCGTGCTATTTAACTTGTAGGGCCAATCTAGGCGTATCAAACCAGTAGATACGAATGGGGAGAGGGCGGCAGACAAGGCCGTTGCCCCTGATGCCAAGGGTCTTGCGGCGCCAAAACACTATTAAGCCAATATCGTCGCCCAAGGCGACATACACCTTTAGTACGCCACTGTATCAAACAGACTACAATTGCTTCTTGTAAACTTGTTCATCTGACAACTAACCTATACATCAACCTACCAATACAACTACCTACCAACACATTTCCATGTTACTTCCTATATGCCAAGTCATGTATGTATATAAGTGTCATGGAACCCACGTCTTATGGTATACGTGACAGACGAACAAAAACTTTTAACATATATACATAAGTATTTAGTCACATTTTACAAATAAACACGATCTCAATGTCCGACTGTTTTTGTTTTGTTTATTTTTCTTCATAAATACAGCTTACGAGAACAGTATTGTGAGGGTGTAATCACTCTCTCATTTGAGATTTGGCGCTTATGGTAAACAACCTGTTTGTATAAGTATGGTTGTTACCACGTTACTATGTCTGATTATAATCATATACTTCTTACCGGCGGGGTTACAGTAGCCGTCGAGGTGTCACTGTCTCCTCCTTGTCCATGCTCTTCCCTCTCGGGTGTACTCATGGTCTTATCTGGGTCAGTTTGACAGGTAATCCCACGTTTTCAAAACCATTTCGTTCGTCGGAACCGTGCATGAGCCACACTGTGGTAAGTCGGTTTTGTGTGGGTGTGTTGATAGGCAGTCATAATTATAACGGGACCCAACTTGCCAAAGCCGCTATGTACCGATCCCCGCGTTATTTAAACTATCAGATTTCCACGAGGTTTAGGTAAAAGGGCGACGGAGAACACTGCGGCACGGTTGAAAGGCAATGTGTTAACGAGATTCGGCAATCAATAAATATCATAGGCTTAAAACTCCCATTCACCTGGTTATTTTATATTTATAACTGCTTTTAGTGTAACAGGATAACGTCTCCATTAAACAATTCGATACTTATCAAAAGCTTTGCTAAACTGCTCAAAGCATGAATGAGACCGACGTCGTCCTGTTATTATTGTTGTTGTTATAGGTTTTAACGCCATTTTTCAGCAAAAGATAGGCTCTACATGGCGACCAGTATTAATAGTGGAGAAAGAACCCTGGAAAACCCCGGGAAGAACCACGAGAAGCTACTGGCAGGCTTTCTCACTTACGTTTGCCGAGTCTGGACTGGATGTCGTCCTAATGTTCACACCCCTGGCCATTCTATGGCTCTTATTCATTTTCTGAAGATAGTTGACCAACTTTGCATAGTGAAAACAAGAAAAACAAAATGCTGTTAAAAGGAAAGTACTAGAGAGTGAGAAATGATATACGTGGACAAATAAAAACTGTTTCAGTTCAATTTACAATACAACCAGAAAGTGCCACCGCCCAAGAAATATCCACATTAGTGAATGGAGATATAGCAAACATTTTTTATTTTTTAAATTAGAACAGTTACTGTTGAAATCTTTATCGAATTATCTATCACATCGTAACAAAAAGTATCCTTTTGTAGCAGCGTGAAATGAATTAGGAGTGACGTCTACAGCTCAGCTGCATGAGTGATAGTTTTTACATGATTGTTTTGATTTTTCAGGAAGTTTCCAAGTACATTTAGTAATAAATAATTTCGATTTAAAGTCACAAATCTAGCAAATCAAAATAAAAATTTGAATTGTTCTAAAAATATACCCAGAATAGCTTAGGGATCGTGATTTTTTAAAATTTATTTCATGAGAGAACAAGAGAGCTGGGCTTAAGAGATCTAATAAATCGGACACCTCTAACACCAAATCAAATTCTAAATCCAGTCATAGCTGAAAGGGCCACGTGCTATATCAACAGAGATACTTTGGTACTGTGTCATATATACCATAAAACACTGGGAGTGTTTGAAAAGTAACAACACTAAGCTGTGGAATATTTTATATATACAAAATAACCCATGTAAATGTCAACTTTGATGACAATTTTCACTCTCAGACAAAAATAATATTCACTGAATTGATTTAGATAACATGGTCGGTGATCAATACATCGATCACATAAGAGACAGTTTAGCCATTAACGTCGGTAGCTATGACAACCGTTTTGTCACAACAGTGTGTTAGGCGAATGTAAAAGAGCGTTAAAGGTAGTTTAGGTGGAATTATTTTATCTTTTTATTCCTGTATTCGCGAAATATATCGTTTTTAATTACGTTTTTATTTTGATTGATGCAAAAAATAATCCTGTTGAATAAACACTTTTTCTGCAATGAGAATTTAATTGGTACGGGTTTAAATGAACCTTTTGTACAATGTACAACATAATAATAAGCGTTCTTCCATATTCATAATTCAATATTTACTGTTCTCATGTGCTAATGGTGATAGTTCGTTGACTTATCGATCGAGGTTTGTATTCTATGTCTTTTAAGATCTTAACCTTCTTCAGTATTGTTTCATATTCGTGAAAGATACAAAACAATACAATAGCACACAATAATGTATGATACGATACAATACGATACAGCAATTGTATTAAAGTATCACATTACATGTTTATATCAAATAGCACTTAAATATTGGTCTTGACGCAAGTCGCGCTAATACGTGAATAATCTTTATTATTCAAAGATCATAGGTTCGAACGATATGAACATGGCTTTACTTTACTGATGCAAATGCCAGACATTTTCTCTGGGACTGAGATAAACTCTATTTGTGGAGACTTTTAATAGCAGTCGGGACGCACTAATTTCTTGAGGTCAGACTTTGTAAAGGCGATCCTGATGTCTAAAATATACATAAATATATAATAAATAAAATAATCGTGAGATATTACAAAAATATCTTTTATCCAGTATTTTATATTTGGTCCCAAATTATACAAAATTAGAAGATTATGAATAAATTTTCTGGAAATAGAATCCAATCTTTTTATTTAAAAAAAAAACAAACAACAGATTAATAAAAATTACTCGCTTCATGTAAAGTACACTATTTACTTTTAATCGAGATTTTTTTCCCCCTTAAAGTTAACGTTATTATCCGGAACGTGTTTGTACGTGTAACGGGTCTAGTAATGTTAAAGGCCGTTTTGTGATACCTTATGATTTTGCAACCTTTCCTGGCCCTGAACATCTTCGCAAGCCAAGGTTCCGATATGTTAGCCTATCTACAATATAGCTGATCTATCACATACTTTATTTCTTCGGGCCTGTGAATTTCATTGTGAACTTTGACAGGCCACCGCATCCAATCAAAACCAAGCTGTTCAAATTTTAACACCGTTTTTCCATGATCTAGACAATACGTGCACACAACTGAAATGGATTTAAAAAATAAGCAATTTCCACTGTCGGTCCATGTTTGCACAAATACATCATTCTCCTCAAATGAACATGTAATAGCTTCTTTATTTTAATTAAAAAGACTTTCAATAATAAACTTTTAAGTATCCTTCTGAGGTCAATTGCTTTCACCATTTTCGGCCGCCGCTGTTACAGGCTAGGTTAGTTGGCATTACATACTATGGGAGGAAACTCGTGAAACCAACAGATGTCGCTAGTGCACATCACTCAAATATCTGATCGATCCGCCAAGGTGTAGATAAGCTATCATATCAGAACATTGACTTGCAAAGATGGACCCTTGAAAATCGGTGTTCTTTCTTAACTTTGACCTGGTTCTAAAACGATACCCTGCTATTTCGAAACCGATCCGTTGTCTTCATTTCTTATCTGGTTCCAAACTGTCCAATGCCTTTTCGCTGCCTTGTCAGCCATTTCGTAGTCTGTGTTTCTCTTTAAGAATACATGTTTAGAATAATTTTGTATGTGTAAAAATGATTCTTAAACTGGTTTTGTGTGCCTGTATAGTAAGTATAAGACTTTTAGACTTTTCTAACTGCATGTATATCTGAAGCTAGTTAGTTCTGTCCGCTTTTTCATTTTTGAACAGGTTGAAAAATGACTGGTAGCATCAGAAAAAATAGTAATCACAAAATAACAGCTCCGTTTCCAAACCGGGCAGTCGAGATGAAAAAGTGCTCGCTTGAGAAACTGTCGGCAGAAGTAATTCAACATGGTGATTCTCAGATCCTCTTCGATCGGATTTCAACATTCAGTTATTATGCAGAAAAGGCTGTTTTTCACCTTTCCGACTTTTATGTCAACACGTTTTATTTTAATAGTACTATTTCTACAAGTCGACACATATCCAAAATGTCCGAGCTAATTACTCTCCAAACAGTATCAAGCCAAAATGCTTCTATCTTTTCAAATTATTAAATCAAAATCCATTTAAATCAATTAAAATTATTAAATCAAAATCCATTTAAATTAAATTAAATAGTGTGAGTGTGTGTGATTTGGATTTTTAACGTAGCTTTAACAATTTTTCAGTCATATCGCTACGATGTCTGCATTGTGGCAGTTTATAGTAATATCTACCACTGGGTCATCCTGTCGCAGACATGTAGCATGATGTCCAACCCAGTCACATTATCCTGACAAAAGGCCGACCAGTCCTAACACTAACCTCTTAATTCTGAGCGCCAAGCGAGGCAGCTATTAGTACCATTTTTGTAAGTCTTTGGTATGACTCGACCGGGGATAAAACCCACGACCTCCAGCATCCGAGGCGAACGCCATAACCACTAGGCCACGGGAGCGGTTAACAAATAGCAGCTTTGCACAAAAAGGCAATAAAAATATTGTATTCCAATATCAAATAATTGAAATCTCCATTGGGTGGAAATGGTCGGTTTGCTCAATGCCCATCTATCGTCTTGCATACAAAATTCTATTCATTAATGTTCTAGCTATATTAAATAATGTGAAGAAAACACGGACATTGAATATTTTACCACTTTCCCTAAGAAACAGTTCTCCAAGATCAATGTTACAGTGATCACTGAATTTAAATGAGACATGAATACCGAGTCTATCACATCTTCAGGTCAGAGAATATTTACCTCTGATTTGTTGATTTAGTAAAGTGGTTATTCTGTCAGATTGGACTAAGTCTTTAAGATGTAAGAAATTCCACCCGATTTTGCTCGTTAAATTTGCAGAATTTTGAATATGGACAGGTGAGACCTGTACACACCAGTTTCAACTAACATTAGACTTAACTTTCATAAGATTGTCAAATACTTCAGTTTTCGGATATGCTACTGCCATTTTCTGTAAATAGCTCCATTTTAATGAAATGACCTTAAATTTTAATGATTATGTACAATGCATCCATTCCAGTAACTATACAGCTAATCGAATGGTGATACAGTTGTATAATTCTATTCGTTTGGGTATGAAGCTCATTTTTTTTAGATAAATCTGATTCATTTTTGAGGATTTTTTTCATGAATTCGCTGATTCAGCTTTACCGAATATAAAGGATATATTCTTTTCCTAATATCGGATATATTTCATCGTGTACTGCAAAAAGTTACATTTTAACGGGTTTCAACGCCACGAGTTAAACTATATTTTTTTGTGTACCACAAGACGAAATATGTATGTTATCTATGCAGTAAAATATTTTTTTTCTTTATTATTTACCATGTTTTCTGAAAAATCGAAACTTCGAAGATTAAATTCACTCTTCAGCACACCCCACCCTTCTTTTTCGTAAATCCACGTATAGGCGAATCATATAAATATAATTGTATTAAGAGAGTGGTAGATCGGGTCGACATAACCTGCCAAAGTAAATTACATTAGTGACATTTTGTAAACTATTAACTATATCCGAAAACATAACAAGTCCTATTCAGCGATGCATCACAGCAAATTTTACGTTGTTGTCAAGGTAGTTAGATGAAATAACTTTTGGGAGATGGAAACAAATTCAATTTTTTTTTTCAGCAACAAATTTATATCTGTGCCTGAAGTGTAATACAGTTTATACTTGTTTGTTCCAGCTCACAAAGTGATTTTTTTCTGTTGCTGCAGGTATGCACACACTATCAAGCGTCGTATGGCATTATGGGAAATCTTGTATTTGCACATTTGAAAATTAAAAAAATATAACGAACAAAAATGCATGAAAATTATTCGCCAAAAAATTCCTGTAGTTTACATTTATTTATATAATAAAATATAGTCCTTTTATATGGATAGAAATTGCACGGCTACAAATTCAAAACAAAATTCGAGCATTATATTTAGGGTTCTTTGGGTTGGAGATGGTATTTTTGAAAATATATTACGTTTTTCAGCAAGATGTTTGTATTTTTGTCATGAAAGAAAATACGTGCAACTTATTTTCACATGGTTTATATACACTTCACTAAATTCAGAAAGATACTAGAGATATATTGAAATTGCAGGAGCGTGTCTTCAGAAGTATGCCTAATGATGGCATATTTTATAATAATTTTAAAATCTTCATGTAAATAAGCGTACTCTTTTTGATTATTCAACCGTCCTTTATTAAAGCGTTTATAGTTTATATTACCTTATATCTTTTTATACTTTCTTTAAAACATTCCCCCTTTGTATATTCTCTCACAATTACAGACGAAACAAGATGAATTACTCTGAAAGCTACATTTTATTGTTGTAAAAGAGTTATTTCCATCTATACTGTCCAATGCGCGAATCAACTGGCAACCGGCCAATAAATTAATCAGTAAAATAAAGTTGGGCATGTCAATAAAGGAGTGGGTAGGAGTGAATGAAAGTGATGACTACATCATACTATTTTTTTATCTGCATCATAGACACACAACAATAATTTGGTTTTGATTTGCTATTCCCGTTTTTAAGACCTTTATTTGTATTGCTTTGATTTATTTGGTTTTCAGCCAGAAAGCACATCTGAGCTAAAACGTCAGTAATTTGGAAGGAGTTTTAGTCCTACACAGATAATATGGACACCTATGACATTGATGTGTCTAGGTTTTTATCAAAAATGGGGCGGCAATAGAATGTAAATAGAAAATTCGTCAAGAGCAACATAGTGACATTACGAGCAATTTGTGTACTATATAGTAGGTGATTGATCTCACTGTGTACTATGTATACACACACAAACACATACATACACACACACACACATATATATATATATATATATATATATATATATATATATATATATATATATATATATATATATATATATATATATATATATATATATATATATATATATATATATATATTATATAGCCATGCCTAATTCTGGCTGAAATATAATCAAGCAGACACCCATAGTTTTAGAATGTATGCAAGCCGACCACCTTATGACTGAACCAGTCCATATTTTGTTGACCGAAATAGTTATATATTCCTGTAGGACCCACGCACCCATTTGCCACTAGATTACCGCATACCCGTGGACGCCCGCAGGATTTTTGCATGTGGTGTCAGGATGTTTTGCAGGGGAATCAGGATTTCTTCATGGGAGAAGGGGTTAGTCAGTCATAGCCGCGAGATTTAATATAAGAAGCACTCTGAAACTAAAGCTAATATATATTAAACGTTTCGAACAGAATCTTGGAACATATTTTCAGCTTTATTTTCATGATTCAACTTGTCAGAATATATATATATATATATATATATATATATATATATATATATATATATATATATATATATATATATATATATATATATATAGATGCAATAACTGACGACGAACAGTAACGAAACTAGTAACTAACTAGCCTAAGTGCTTTCGATTTCGACTCTTAATGAGTCTTTTTCAACGGCAAATACAAAATACGACAAATAAACACAAAAACGTTGTTCCCTAAAAGTATATATATATATATATATATATATATATATATATATATATATATATAGTATGATTTCCAGGGGTGGGTCACGTGACTCTCCTTGACCCATGCTGCGGGCGCCCATGCATATATCTGTAAGATGCGATTTGAAGATTATATATATATATATATATATATATATATATATATATATATATATATATATATATATATATATATATATATATATATATATATATATATATATATATATATATATATATATATATATAAAAGCAAATGAATCCAAATATTTCTTAAATACTGAATCCAAATATTTCTTAAATACATCTGTATTTTTAAAACAAAAAAGCGACAATACTTGTGCCCTTGCCATCTGCATTTTACTGCAAACCAAGGCAGACCCAAAACAAAACAAAAACAAAAGACACTCACACACACACACACACACACACACACACACACACACATTAAAAGTGAAATTTCTACATTCAAAGGATTTAGAAATTGAAACGGAATTAAAACAAGACAGTACATTGATCCTACTTTTGTATTGCTTTCATCTTTCCTAATTATCAAACCATGAAATCTACAAATATTTTAATTCTCTAATTTTTGGTATAGAGAATATTTTGAGGTTATTGTGGTTATTAAATTTGCAAATGATGTTTTTTTGGTTCCTTTGCCTATAATTATTTCAATATCTAAAAAAAAAAAGTAATAAGAAACAGTGTTCGAAAAAGTATAGACAAGATTGAGGTATATGCATATATGCATTATTATTATATTATTATTATTATTATTATTATTATTATTATTATTATTATTATTATTATTATTATTATTGTTGTTGTTGTTGTTGTTGTTATTATTATTATTATTATTATTATTATTATTATTATTATTATTATTATTATTATTATTATTATTATTATTATTATTATTATTGGGGATCCCGTGTGGCCGAGTGGTCTAAAGCGCTCTTCGTTATGGATCACTGCCATCTCACCTCTGCGTGGGGTCGAGTGTAAGATTCGACGAATGTGGAAAGGTGAGAAAGCTTGCCAGTAGCTTCTCGTGTGTCAGTGGTTCTTTCCCTTTATTACCCGGTTTCTTCCTCCACCATTAATACTGGTGGCCATGTATAGCCTATCGTGTGCTGAAAAATGGCATTAAGCCCCAGAACAACAACAAGATAACAAGCAACCGTAACAGTAACAGCATAGGTCATCACTATGTGGAAAAAAAAATGTGCTTTAGATTGGATTGGTAATGTTCTCTCTAGTGTTTTGAACTTGTTTATTTAAGAGGACATGCTTTCTTATTCAGATCAAAGAAAAAGGCGGTACACAAGTTCGATAAAATTTATGATTTCCACTGGAACTAAATGAAGGAAGCAGCGTAATATTCAATACCTATTCTTAAGTACAATGATGTTTTTTTTTTAAATTGTACTTTGAGACCTTTTTCTTTTAATTGAAATAAAATAAAAATATCGACATATATGCGAAAAATTTATACATTTTTGCAGGTTATATATATATATATATATATATATATATATATATATATATATATATATATATATATATATATATATATATATATATATATATATATATATATATATATATATATATATATATATATATATATATATATATATTCTGATCGATAACAACACTATAAACCCACTTTACAGACTGAGTAAGAAAGGGGAAAGGGGAAGGGGTGGTGTATATGCATCACATTGTAATGCTTTTACCGTAACATGACTCGGTCAATATTGTTGTTATAGGTACGACAAAAATGTATTTGAACATGCTGACATGTCCACTTTTATGTTGAATTTGAAAATTTTGAGCTCTCTTTCTCAGGATTAAACAAAACAAACATAGTTTAAACTTGTGTTTTGTAGAA